AAGAAAACCTATCCTTTGATCATCGACAAGTCACCTCACTTAAAAACCACTCTAAAAAATACCTTCAGAGTACCAGTAATCCTTAGGAGAAAATAAAGTGTTTCAACGCATGTTTGCTAAGGGGCCCATCCACGCTGCCCTCAGTCCTGTACTAGACACTGTGGAGATAAGCATGAGACACGGCCCCCCGCCCGCAAGGCTTAAATAAGGGACAAAACGAGTGATATGACCTCAGCACCTCACCAGCCCACATGGAGGAAGACTCGACAAAGGCCAGCGCAGTGAAGGGAAGGATGGCTGTGGCTGTGCAAGGTGAACGAATCTCTGGCCGAGGGAAATCAAGGGAAAAAGCAGAGGCGGGTGTCAGAGGCCCCCGCGAAAGACAAGGGGTTCCAGCAGCGGGGCCAGAGGAGGGCGCAGAGGACGGGAGCTTCCGTGGGTTAAGTGGAATAAAGAAATGTGCAAGTGTGACTTCCGCTGCAGAAGCGACCGGATGAGACAAGTGACTGACCCTGAGAGTAAGAGGAGGCTGAGAATCGTCATGGCCAAGAGAACAGACGTACCTAATAAAGGATCACAGACAGGGATACGGACAGATGGAGAACAAAGGGGTGAAGACATGAGTCTGATTTCCTATCTTCTGGGTTTCAGGTGATAAAAAATCCCAGCACATTGTCTGTTAAGTCAGCGAAAGATGGGACCGGACATCAGATGAGAGACTAGGCTTCTGTCATTGCTATCGCCCTGGCCCACGTTTCTACCTTCTCGGCCCTGGATTACCGCAATAGCCTCCGGCTTCCACCCTCACCCCCAGTGTCTCTGCTCAACCAGCCAGCCAGAGCGAGTCTTTAAAATGCAAATCAGATCAAATGATTATTCTGTTCCGAAACCCTCCAGTGGCTGCCCATTTCCCTCAGAGTCAAATCCAACTCCCTATCATGGTTTATAAGTCCCTTCGCGATCGCCACCACCAGCCCCTTCCTCTCCGGCCTGAGAGCCCACTCTTCTTCCCCCTCGCCCATCTGTCTGACCCGCACTGACCTCCTTGCTACTCCCAGAACACACAGGGCTTGCTACCATCTTCGGGCATGTGTCCCTCAGCCTTAAAATTTCTAGTTGGCTAACTCCACGTGGCTACCTCCTCTGAAGGAGTTTAAGACTCTGTTCGAATTCCCTCTTCTCAATGGGCCCATGCTGACCACACTATTTAAAATTGCGAGCCCCACCCTCAACCTAGTACTCCTGATCCCACTGCCTGCTTTTCTCCCCGGAGACCCTTACTAAGATGTAAGCATCATGAAGGCTGAGATTTTGCTCACTAACGTATCCCGAGTCTAAGCAGAAGAGGGCCTGCAAAAAGTAAGGAAAAATATTACTTTGCTGAATGAACGAACTGCTGTGGAAGGGTGAGAGACAATAAAAGCTCAGAGCAACAGGTCGCCGTGTTTCTATCAGCTCTGGCCCTGCCCATTTTCTCCAATATTTTCTAACTCAGTAATGATCTCATCATTCACCCAGATGCCCAAGCCAAGAAAGCACGAAACGCATTCAAGGCTTCCCTCTCTCCCGACTCCCCCGCAGTCAATGCATCGCCCAAGGCTGGCCGAACGCCCTCTACCGTCTCTACAACAGGCTCCCTTTCCACTCCAGTTCAAACCTTTTCATCTCTAAACTGGACTATGAAATCCACGACCGAGCTGTCTTCCTGAGAGCCATTTAGATAGAGATGAAAGCGTGTGACGGTGGGAGAAAGCGAAGCGAAGCGAAGAGAACAGGATACTTGAAGGCAAAGAGAGTGAACTGCGTCTTCCCTTTCCTTCCTCCTACTCACGCGCGCTCGTTCAGATACTTCCAGGCCCAGCTCGAATGCCTTCCCACCGCCGAAGCCTCTCCTGGGCCCTTCAGGCAAAGGGCACACTTACTTGTTCCCTCTTTGTACGCAACTGCATTAGAGCACTTTCTCTAGCGACTGTGTTTTCACATATCGGTTGCCTAACTGAACAGGAGCCCAGTCTTATTCCAGCACCGGGCCTGGCATTAAAAATGTCTGTTGAATGAACAATAACTTTCAGTCTAGAACTGGCAATTCAAAGACGAAAACCTAAGTACGAACAAAGCGGTGGGGGTACAAAGGACAAAAGAGAAGTTACCAGTTACCAGCAAACGGTAGATAAAAATACTAAACTGAAGACCCAAGGTGGGGAAATAAGGGCCGAACACATTTCCACCTAGATAAGGATGTAGAAATAATGGTACTAGCTGATACAATCCCCATAAAAATATTTAATAAGAGAAATAGATTATTTAGAATTTCAAAGAAATCAGAAGGGCTAAGCCAAAATATCCCTTAAAAATAAAACATGTTCTCTCAGAAAGAAATACTAAAGACATCAATTACATTCATAAAATGCTCATGAAAATCAAATTGTTTTAATGAAGGAGAAAACATAAAACACATCATCAGTCCTTTCTAATCCTATCTCCCCAAAGACAAACATGTAGAATTAGATCATTAAAAAAAATGAAGAGGCTAAAAAAAGCCATTTTTTATAAGCAGGTACAGTTGTATGCTTGAGGGAAAACAAAAACATTCCAGATAATGCCTGCCTCATGTATGTGTCAATGTAAAATAAAAGCTTACTCAATGTGAAATGGCTCAGTTATACTTTGTCCGGTTCATGACCAACCAAGGTAACACTAGAGTAGTGGCTCTGAAGCTTTTTTGGGTCACAGACCCCTCTGAGACACAGATGAGAGCTATGGGCTTGTCCTACAGGAAAAACATGCAGGTATACATATATATCTAGCATCTTAATTATGTCCTGGCAGTCACAGAGCCGTGGAGCCCAGTTGTAGAACTGATGCCTTAATGACCAGAAATAGCAAATGATGTAAGGCCCCTCAGGAAAGAAAAGAAATAAAGACAATTCTAGAGCTTTTTTGTCAGTCATCCAGTCAATCAAAAAACACTGAACATAAAAATCTCTGAGCTGAATTCTATCAAGTGACATACAACCAGATACAGCTAAAATGCATGCACATGCCTTAAATGTGAAATCTAAAGTGTTTAAAAATAAGATCCAATATTAATAATAGTAATAACAATTATTGAGCATTTACTACATAATGAGTGTTGTTCTAAATGTTTTAAATATATTCATACTTATACATAAACATAAACAATTTTATCCTCATTTCACAAATCAGGAAATTAAAGCACAGAAAGGTATACAAAGAGAGTCAATAAACAGTGATACAAAACAAGAATGATTAATACGAAGCCAAAACGTCCCTCAGAGCGTACGCCACCTGACAGCAACGTAGACCTGTACTTGTATTATCGCAGTTCTACGAGGCAGAACATACTGTCCAAACTCCAGAAGAAGGATGACAATCTCGATCCTTTTCCACATTCCTGCCAAATAATCCTTATCATACCATATTCGCTTTGGAAGACACTGCAACCAGAAACGTGAACACAAAATGTTCAGAAAGAGCACGACGCTACTAAAGGATTCACAAGATTAAAAATATAAGATTAACTTAGAGGATGACAAACCTTAGCTTTCTAAATGACCGTCTTTTGTACAAGTACAAGCAATAAACCATGCTTTGGAAAAACCAGCAACATAAGATGTAAAAAATCTGAAAGAGGGTCCGTTTTTCTACAGAGAAAGTTCAAGCTGCCCCACCTCAAACTTTCTTCAAGGCTCTGCCTCCTTTCTACCACCTTGGTTCCATGCCTCTTCCACTCCAGGACAACCACAAAAGTAGAGAAAACCTCACAGGTTCAACAGGGCTCACTAAATTCCATCAACCACAAGGCAAATTTCCAGTCCCCTGGATGCACCCCTGCCGTGCCCGCACGACGCACACGACACACGTCTGCTAAGCGCTGAGCCTCCCCCAGGACAAAGTGCGTATGCTTAACATTCAACCTCCCATGCTACCACACTACAGATCATGAAAGCGTTAGAAGAACACGACAAAACACATCTTTTACCTTAAAGCACATGACGGAAAAATTGTGATGTACCTTTGTTTAGATTCTACATCCAGGGGGAAAAAAAGAAAAAAGACTAATTTTTTTAGTTCAGTTTATGCAGCTATTGGTAATTCAAGACACCACAAAAAAATTTATCTGAGCAAATTCTTTTTTAAACAATGACATTCTTAACATAGTATAATTTTTACAGCTTTCTTTGTAATGTCTACTGGAGACACGACAAAATCATGAAATCTTTTCTTTTAATGCAACAATAAACCTTCTGAATTATATATGAGAAATTAACTCCACTAAAATAAGGTGGCCTGCTGCTTTAACAGCCACATTCTAAATTCAGTGAACTTAAAACCAAGAAACAATGAAAATAAAATGTATTCATATATGTATGCCGCAAAAAAAGTTCCCTCTGTATTTAAACCACAAACTGAAACACTTGCTCCTGATTTACTGAACTGTTAAAATATCTCAGAGCAAACACACAAAACTGAAAAACTATATTTTACACAGAGCTTCTTGGAAGTCGATACCCATTAAAAGAAGTTCACCTCTACAGGAAACAGGCCCTCTTAGTATAGAAAGCATATGAGAGCAAAAACTCAGACTAATCTATTCCCTAATATTAAGTGGTATTTTTAAAAACACAACTTATGTGAATATCGATTTCCCAAAACAGAAAAGGATGACCTTATCCTGGCAAAACTCAGAACACTGTTTCTTCAACATCCTCGAAGGCATTTCGAGGCACCACACTTTTCCATCTGCTTTGTTCTATTTCTTCATGCCCAAATGGAAATTAAACACTTCAAGTAACAGCTAAAAAATGTCATCGACCAGAGTGAAGCACTGAGAGCAGAGAAGCAGCTTGAAAGGAGTAACAGAAGGAGACGGCACAATGGGTAGAGCAGCCTTGGTAGTGACCTTGGAGTGTGTGCAGAGACAGAAAATCTGTACAACAGGTACGGGAAGCACACTGAAAAACTCAACGCTCACTTACCCGACGCGCTCTCGGTAAACACTGTTAACGTCTGTCCTCCAACACTCTGCAAGACAAACGGATGTTCTCTGGGAGCACTGACTGAAGCCGGCTTTCCGCCAATGTCATGAATATTTGCAAGATCCTCATTCAAAGTAAATGACACCTAAAAGACACATTTATGCAGAGCTTATTACAATAGACTTTTGTATTCAAACTATCTGTACAGAAATTCTGATTATAAATCATCTTTTTAAAATGCGAATCTTTTCATTTTATTAAGCATTTTTCAAAACTTTATCCAAAACTCTTTAATACTTATTCATAAAAAAGAGAATCTATTCCTAAGTGTCAGAATAATGGGGCTAATCTACCATCATAAACACAAAGAGCTTTCGCATGTTTTCTCTGATGTGTGGCTGAAGAAATTCTGTTTCCAAAATAGGAATACAAATTTTCCCCCTAAGGTTTTTGAGGTTAAGAGACCACATCTTGTTATACTCATGGGCTTTAATGTATATATATATGTGTGTGTATGTATATGTATGTATCTCCTAGCAAAGTGCCTGGCACATAGAAGGAAAACAGTATTTGCTGAATAAGTGAATCTTTTAAGAGTATTAAGAAAACAACTACTTGATGAGGGGAAAGTGAGCTACTTAGAAAGCTTAAACAGAGGACATATTTCTTTTTTTAGGTCTTAATGACTACTGTATGAGTACGAGGTGCTGTTTTATTTTTGAATAGTTAAATAAATACAACTAAGGATATAAGGATAACTCGATCTTGAGGTCTGGAATAAAAAGACATAGGCTTTCTTCCAAAACGATTTTCACCATATACCTGATCTCTTCAAAAGGACAACAGATTTTACCTCAAAGAAACTTATAAAATACTGACCTTCCAACCAAGTAGGAAAATTATGAAGTATTTATTAAATATCTCTCTACTGTGTGAGAGGTACTGCAAATTATGTCCTGGACTTAATGGGTCAAAATCTAAAGCCCTCGCCAATCCAAACAGAATGCCTCTGCCACACTGAAATAATGTCAAAATATTACTGAAGTAATTCGAAGTGCTGAGGGAGGGGATATTTGAGGTCAAAGTAGAAAATGCTAAGAATAAACACTTAGAAAGGAGTCCATTCATTCACACGAGAGTGACATTTACACTATTATTTGTTCTTGACCATCGGCTCCTAGCTTGATGTAGAGTTTTCTGGAATATAAACACCACTCCTCTCCTTACTGTTACTAATTCACGGTAAAAAAATCTCATGCTTTAAATAAAATGTAAATAGAAATAATCTTACCTCAGTCCTTCCTTGACTCCTAAAAAAGAGAAAAAGAAAAATTTTTATTTATTTAGATTTCAGGTTTTTTCAAATTTACGCTGATAATTAAAACAAATAACACTATTGCATATTTACATGAAATATTACATTTACAGAGGTTAACATGTACCCTGGGCTCTCTTCAACTATCCTATTTGTAACATTCTAGGAAAAACAAAAGTCCCATTAACCCCGTGTGAGTATTTTAAGTGTGTGTCACTTAACACTATTACAACCTGTCAAAATATTATTATTGCATAATATTTTACCCAAATAATGATCTTTTGCAAATCTTATCTTTATTTTTGAGCATTTTTATCATTCAGCAGCATGTGAATACATATTTAATATCAGTATGTAGTATTTCAGCAAATTGTACTATTTGCCTAGCTGAAGATGTTTCATTTACCAAATAAAATCTTAAAAATCAAAATTAAACTTAATATTTTAAAATCATAAGCAAATTTTCTCCACTATAAAAACAACATGTGTCCACATATAAACACACAGGCAAGTTAAAAGAAGTTTTAACAGCCATATTTCCACTGTTAACATTTTGGCACAGTAGAAATCCTTCCAGACTATTTTCTATATATTTGCATTATATGTTTTTAAATGTCATTTTTTTCACAAAGATGGAATCGATGTACACTTTATATAATAGCCTAATTTAAAACATATATTAAGTACCTACTATAAGCAAAGTACTGAGTGTAAGGTACCTGTCCCCAGACAGCAGAAGCTACACCCGTAACTGTAGAACGAAATAAATTTTAATGTTTAATAAGAGAGCCACGATATGCCAGGGTCCTTTCTTCCATTTTAAGAGTTAAAGAAAGGCTCTGAGCTTTTCTAGAAGGGCCCTAGGACTTCAGTAGGCCGAGGCGGGACTGTAGCATCAGAAGTAAATAGCCGAACACAGCCATGGGAGAGTCAGATCGCGAAGATGCAACCAGGCTAGGAGGGAGAGTATGAAGTAAGGGACAGCGGGATGCGACCTATGACGCAGAGCTGGCGCTAGACGTGGACGGGCCTCACGATCTCCGCACAGAGCACGGACGTCGTTCTTTGGGCAATGGGGAGCCCCAAGTACAAAGACTTGCTCCAAGAAAATATACGTGGAATGGGCACGAAGACCAGGTAGGAAACGACGGTCTCATCACGCCGGGCTGAGTTCTGGCCGGCCTCCACGCAGTGGTGCTGGCATTAAGTGTCCACCATACACCCGCTAGGCACTGTGCTCAGGGCGCGGTCTAGTAGGACCTTTAATTGTCCTCAAGAAGGTTCCAGTTGAATTAAAAAGAGCCAATCTATGAACAACTATAAGCAGAATAATAACTATGACAGAGGTACAACACGTTACCATGGAAATGCAGAAAAGAAAGCTAGGAAAAGATGGACTGAGTGAGGACTGACGTTGACAAGACGGGCGCATTCCGGGCTAAGAGAACAATCCAACTAAACACCAGCAATAAGAAAGTATCCAGAGCATTCTTTCTAATATCAATGAACGGTCGACTGGAGTCAAGTGGTAACGAGCCTCTCAGGCCAAACTAAGCAGTCCAGGACCTTAAACAGATCTGTTTACTGCAGGACTTCTCAGAGCCTTTAATAAATTAAAATGCAAGTCAATCTTTTTGTTGGGCGAAGTACTTAGAACAGAAGTGAAGAACTTTTAAGGTTTCACATAAAGATATGAATTGGCAGCTTCTCTTATCAGGGTTTGGAAGGTTTGGCAACAACGTGCCCCCAATTCAGCATGAAGAGGCACTGAATTAGCGACCTTTAAGACAGAGGCACTGCGGGCGGAGCAAAGGCAGAGATGCAGAAGGGACGTGGCAGAGCGCAGGAAGTGCGTGCACGCTGCCGGAGCTGACAGGAGATGCCTGGAAGGCAGCAGCAAGGGAAGAGGATGGATCGAAGGCCACGCTGACACTTCAGGTGCGGTGACTAGAAAGTCACCTGGATGCAATTAGGAAACACTTGAGGGGACGATGACTTCATTTTCACGTTTATATATAAAATTATCATGGCATCTTAGCTGGAATAATAAGAGATTGGTGAACTCTGGATGGGTTAATTTTCTAGAATAAAAAAATCTATGGCAACTTAAAACTTATTTTAAAAGGATCACATATTCTTTGGTCGGGGTGTGTGAATGAAGCACATGTGACCTTTGATTGTCCTACAATGCAACTGAGATATCCCCTTTCCACGATGACCTGCGGCTACAGTTAGACACACCGACTACTAAAACTCTGTCGTGTCTTCAGAAGTGACTGAAGCAAGCCGCTGGCCCGTCCTTCACTGGTGCTTCACGATGCTTCCAGCTTCTCCTTCGTCACTCAGAGCCCATTTCTCAGAACCCACAGCCAGTCTTTGGACTCCAGTCTTGTTCCTCTTGCCTTTTTTTTTAAATTAATCATTTGTCTTTTCCTTTCCTTACACTTTTTAACTACTTAGATTTGACACCATAGGGCTGGACTCTCCACTCAGCTCTGACAGCCAATAAAGCAACTCTTTTTCCGGGAAAACTAACTACGAATCTCAAGCCGACAACTGCGCTCCAGGACGTTCCGTTTTGTTTTGAGTTATTATTTCTACACCCTATTCTCGGACGATTATGCTCAAAACCCAAAGTGAGGCCAAGCAAGGCAAAGTGCCTGCAGAGCGGGCAGAGTTGGGTGGTCACAGCACACGTGTGGTGGAGAGCAGTGCCTGGGGTGCCGGGGGCAGCCCGAGACGAGGTGTCAGAGCCCACTGGGGCAAGGGTGACATCCGCAGAAATAATGGCTCAACAAGAAGTGTGTCCGGAGCTGGCAGGGAGAGGGCATGCTCTCCGGAGGACGACCAGAAGCAGGCTGCTGGAGCCTCGGGGAGGGCAGCCTCCGACGGGCTGAGGACAGTGCCCTTGGGGAGAACAGCAAAGGCAGCAGCCTGACGAGGGGTGCTGGAGCCCAAGGGAGGTCGGGGGAAGGGTAGTCTGAACAATAAGAACAGAGGCTTGAACAAAGAGAGGGAATGTATTAAAGGTAACGGAATCAGGTTTCCCACTTTCTGCACGCCCTGTGGAGTCGGACTAGAACTGGATACTGGTGTAACGTCACGATTTTCAGTATATGCAAATACAGAAATGCAGATGCAAAGGCGTGTGTACACATATACTCCCTAGCGCTGCCCACTGACAGCCCTGGGAAAGGCAATGAGCACATGTAGCATCCAGTCTTAGTTTCTGGAAGGAACCAGGGCTCCTTAGAGAAATGAATGACTCCAGGACTCAGACAGAAATGTGCAGATGAACCTAAAACATCTTGCTGTGACAAAAAGCGCTCAAAGAATGGTTAGGACATGTCAAAAGGCCACAGGACTTACACTACTGAACTGTACACTTAAAAAGGGTGAAGATGCTAAATTCTGTGTGTGTTTTACCACAAAAAAGAAAAAAAACGGGCTTAGGAGCCAGCTAGAAGCAGCTTCCACTGGCTAAATTTTAGACAACTTGAACATCAGAATAAATGACGATGGTAACAAATTGTGTCCCATTGAATAAAACTGGAATCCATGAGTTCATACTAACACAGACAAATGAATAAAGGGGAAAATCTGATGAGAAATGGAATGTTTACATAGCCACAAAGTAGCACACCATAGAATACTTAATAATTACAAAGGAGAAAAGAGTGCGTTTACAGAGACAAGGTTTAGAAGACACTCCCTAATCAAGTGACCAAAGTTACCACTACCAAGAGTGGGACACGATGAAAGCACACACACCTTGCTAGAAGAATACAGAAAGAACCCAGCTTCACCTTTGTGACATTACTGCCAAAGATGCATAACCCGAACCTAATCAAAACATCAGACAAACCCAATTCTTATAAAATAACTACCTGTAAACACCAAGAGTGTTGACATGTATATGGTCAACAAGTCAAGGAAAGACTTCCAAATGTTCTAGCTCTAAGGAAACTAAAGAGACCTGACGATAGACTGCAACACGAGATTGTGGGCTGCCTCCTTTTCCTATAAAACATCCTGGCGACAACTGACAAACCCTGAACGAAGTCTAAGGGCTACGCTGTAGGACTATTTGATGTTGATCTACTGATTCGGAGGGGTGTGCTGAGATCATGCAGGAGAGTGTCCTTGTTTGCAGTAAAAAAGTTCTTTATATTGTTTTTCCAACTTTTCTGTAGCTTGAGATTATTTTAAAATAAAAGTATTACATAATTTTAAAATATGCTCTATTTAATCTCTTACTAAAGAATTTAAGAATGCTATTAATTTTTCTCTATAACAATGCTGAAACGAATATCCTTGTAAATCAATCTCTGCATCGCTAATTTGTCTCTTTCATAAGTTCCTAGAAATTGCTGGGTCAAAATGATCTTTCATTATTAATACGTCTAGCCTTCTCACTATCCCAGCTCTCCTCTGCTGGATCGGTCTGGCTTTCTAGAAGGAGCACACACAGACTGAACATAACTTGCACTGTGAGCTAACTGGCAGAGAAAACAGTGCCATTTTCATTCTACGTTGTTCTGAGCAGCAACTGTACGTGTGTGTGTGTATCTTTGTGCTGTGTATACACATACGTATGTGTACATATACACACGTAGGTTGTCAGACTGCCCTTCAAAAAGGCTGTACCAATTTAAACCTCTATCAACAGTTTAAGTGTTCTAAACTTAGTCACTTTTAGAACAAAAAAAATTATATCTCATTGATTTTTTGTTTACATATTTTTTATTATTAGTGGGCCCCCATATAACATTGAATGTTAAATGTGTTTAAAGAGAAAGCTAGAAATTAACTCTTTGAGATAAGCCACATTAGTATAAACTGACGATTGTCAGTAAAATACAACATATATCAACCATTTCGAAAAGTGACGTTTTCTGGGGCAGGACAGTGATGTAGAAAGAAGATTCATTTTAAAATTAAACAAGCTAGGGCAAAAGTATAGGCTAACTAAAATGCGGTACATGTGAGATGTCC